AAAAAAAGGTTGACCCAACTCTTCATTGTGCTCACGCAGTGTGATTGCTGTAACACTTCGAAGCTGAGCGTCCCCACTTAAACCTTGTGGTGGTTTTGTTGGAAGTTGGTCTTTCTAATGGCCGGCTAAAATGTTTTCACAGTACTGACTGAATCTACGTACCTGATCAAAAATCGGCTAAAAACAAAACAAAACAAAACAACCCCCCCCCCCCAAAAAAGTGAAATATTCTGTAATGTTTTAAAGCTTCTATTTAGTTAATGTATTAGTGTTGTTGTTGTTGTTGTTTTTTTGTTTTTATAACGTGACGACACATCTGCATTGAATAGAATGGCGGACAATAGAATATTATTGTCTCGCATCCATGCACATGTTCATACGAACTGTCTTTGTTTACAAGCTCGCCTTTTCCCCTTGATAAAAATCCAAATCAATCCATTGGCTCTTGTCTGATTTTCAAACTTTTTACACCGCCGAGTTCACACACAAATTGTAAATGGACTTTGACTTCTACCAGTGCACTTTCTCCTCATTTGCCAAGTGTTGAACCAGCATCAGGAGCAACTTATCGGTATCATACTCAAGGACACTTTAGCATGGTCTTGGACATTTTTACAGATGTTCAAGATCGAAACCACAACATTCAGGTTGGGAGATAAATAACCACTCTACTACCTGAGTCATGTTGCCTCTTTGTCGGGCCCTGAGCGTATTGTGGAAGCCATTAAAATTCCTCAGTGTGCATCCTTTCATGTTTGCGTTCGTCTCCATTCAGGCAGCTCGAATACTTTTTTTTTTTTTTCCAGCTTCCTCTCGCATTCTCAAAACACGCATCTTTGGTTCATTGAACACTTGAAATTGTCCCTAAAGTGTGAATGGCTCTTAAACTACATGTACCCTGTAATTGACTGGCAACCAGTCCAGGGTGTACCGCATTTTTCGCCCAATATCAGGTGGGACAGGCTCCACCTCACCAGCTTTATTTGTTATTTTCTGCAACAGACACTGGAAGAGGATTTTTAGAAAGTATTGCAGTTTTCTCAAAAAACAACAACAAAAAACAACCTGCGTGTGAACGAAAGGGCAACAAATAGGTGCACTCTCCGATGTGTGAAGTCTTGTGTGTGGTTAATGCGCCTGTGTAGAAGCTTGTTTTGCGAAACACACTTGGTGGGAGGGGGTGTCGGTTGATGTAGTGTTCATCGAGGCGCCAGAGCATGCAGCGCCGATATAGCCAAAGCGGGCAAGAACGATGCAGCGACAGTGGTCGAGGAGATGAGGCTTAGATAGTCTGACAAGAGGCAAGCATTATCAAGATTAATAAGGCCAGCGGTGAGGGCAGGGCAAAAAAACCCCAACGAGGCTGATGAAGAGACTGCATACTTGTCATAGTTGAGGCATGCTGCTTTCGCGTCCTCCGGGCTTGTTTTTAGAAGAGGACATTGAATTCCCACGTCTTCCTTTTTTTTTTTTTTGCTTCTAGCAGCATGACTGAAGTTGAACAGGCAGAGCCGTCGCTGTTTGTCTGGGTCCCTCAGTTGTCAGATTTTAATCAGAGAAATGTGGAAGCTGAAGATTGTAATGTGTTGTACAACGACACGGTTCATTGGCAGTGCAACGTAGACTACTAGAATTGCAGCAATTGTGTTTGAATGCCGGAAGATGGCAATAAATCAATGACTTGATAGTTATAACCGGGTAGTCCATAGCAGTAATACCTAGCATCTCGGGCAGTCGCGAAGTGCGCCGACGGACCCACCCCCGCTGCAACCAAGGAGCGTTATGTTCTCTCCGAGCCTGCGTGGGTTTTCTCCGGGTAACCAAAAACAAGCATGGCAGGCTGATTGAACACTCAAAATTGTCGCTAGGTGTGAGTGTGAGCGTGGATGGTTGTTCGTCTGGGTGTGCCCTGTGATTGGCTGGCAACCGGTTCAGGGTGTCCCCCGCCTACTGCCCAAAGATGACTGGGATGGGCTCCAGCACCCCTCGCGACCCTTGTGAGGATAAAGTGGATCTTTAGGTCAGACATATGAAACCACTAGTTCATCGTGCTGCCCAAATATGAAACCACTATCCATCTATGTTTTCTAATATTGTGGCAAATAATATGGTATGACTAACTGGTCAGCTCTATTGGAAGTCTAAGGTCGTTTGATGGGGAAATCAAGAACCCACATGCACACATGCAGAGATTGATACTTTATCACCTGGCAAGGTAGAACTGGAAGCCACGACAGAAACCTCAAAATCCATCTCATTTAGTTTCCAGGCACTCTGGCCCGATGGGTTTCATACCGTCTTGGGAATGTGAAAATGGACGGTTCGAGAGCGTTTGGCCGTTCATCAGTTATTAAATAGCTCCGTCTGAAAGTAACAGCCGTGATTTCCCCACAGGCACGACACCGCTTAAACTGGCACTTAGATAATGACTGCATTTCATCTGACTGAATTTCCCTCAGATTATCATTGACTTTTCTGTTGTGATTTCCGAGGGGCATGCTACAAATTACTGTCATCGGAGCTTCAAACCAGTACTTTGTCACTGTGTATTGAAATATCTTCCTTCGTGGTGAAACTTGTTTCTCGCTAAGGATCACGAGATCTGATTCTTCTTTTCATTGTTCAGTCATGCCTCTACTTAGGAACGTCTCTTCATTCTGAAAGTAACAGCCGTGATTTCCCCACAGGCACGTCACCGCTTAAACTGGCGCTTAGATAATGACTGCATTTCATCCGAGTTGAGTTTTATGAATTTCCCTCAGATTATCATTGACTTTTCTGTTGTGATTCCCGAGGGGCATGCTACAAATTACTGTCATCGGAGCTTCAAACCAGTACTCTGTCACTGTGTATTGAAATATCTTCCTTCGAGGTGAGACTTGTTTCTCGCTAAGGATCACGAGATCTGATTCTTCTTTTCATTGTTCAGTCATGCCTCTACTTAGGAACGTCTCTTCATACGAAATTTTCAAGTTACGAAACACCTCAACAGGAAAATATTGCCTCTTGTTATGAAAGAAATGTCAAGACACGAAAGGTAGAAATACAGTATGGGCTGCTGCTCGCAGCTCTGAGTTTCCTGAATGCAACATACTTCTAGCTGCTCTGCCATTGGCTATTACCGAGCATCATCCTGGCATCCCATTGGCTAAGAGGGACTTCTACCGAATGTGTCTTTGTGTGTAGATCGATAAATAGATAGATATGTGTCTAGCAGTGTCCTCGTCATTCGCCCCTCGGGCCATGAGGCGTTCCAATAGTTTTACGTGAATGTGAATCACCCTGAAAAAGTGTTCACCAGTCGGGCGATCGCTCACTATGCTGATGTTTGCCTTGGACATTTTCGAAGGATTGTTAAAAGCCGACAAAAACAAACATCATTGGATCAGTTCTTTACAAAACGGCAGGGAAAAACCACTTCTGAGAGAAAACATGAACTAAAGAGGGCAAAAAAAACGACGAAGACAGAGTTAAAAGTTAAATGACTATCATGTTTATTCTTTATTCTTTTTTTTACATTCTGCACAACTCTCAGTTATTGTGCAATAATCTAATTCTAACATGTATTTGTTACATATTTTGATGCATTTTCATGCTTTGAAAAACATTTATGTCTGAATATTGGGGGGGCTTGGAACGGATTAGGGCATTTACATGGAAAACGCGTCTCTACTGACGAAATGTTCTCGTTAAGAAATTTCTTCCAGAACCAATTCATTTCGTAAGTAGAGGTACCACTGTAGTTTATTTTTTCCAAGCGAAAGGCATTTGTAGGCATACATTTTGCCAACAAGTGTTGATGATCGGCACTGGTGCCTTTCCAGGACATTCACTTTCTTGAGCTTCGTGTTTAGAATTGCTTGAACTTTTATTTTACTATTTCTTCATCTTTGAATCAATTGCCACAACGTCACAGTTCAAGCATATTTTTTTTCATGCTGTTATATGGAAACAGACGTACTCACTCGGTGTCATAGCGGAAGAGTAAAACAGGTTCGGGACATCATCAATTTGAATGCAATTGCTCGTTTAATCGTCCATATGACACACATAATGATTGTAGCTAATTAGTAAGCCCCTGATTAATGCCTCGTTTGCTAGCTAAGTGCACATCACCCATGCAGCGCCAAAGCAATTATATCAGAGCCATATTGAGTGTGTCATCACGTATTGTAAGTCACATTCGACATGATGAGGGTCGATCCATTCAGAGGTTCAGTTGTGGAAACCAGGGATTCTTTGGATTGCGGCGTAGCAGCAACAAGACGAGACTCACGGAGTCATCAAGAACTGTTGTGTACAATGGTGGGGCCAAAGATGTGTTCATATCAGAGTTGTGTCGTTTATGATGCTTCATTTATGAAATTTTGAATCGTCGTAACAAGCTTGGGTGCGCTCCGAATAACCGAACGGCACATTTCAACAACGCTCTGAGTTTGAGAAGAGTCGAGGTGATTCCGTGCGCGCTCAGACCATATTTCCAAACTCGCCCTTTGTCACTCGATGTGCGGATCTGTGCGTTTGGTACAGCAGTTATACCGCCCACCTCAGCTCAGCTGACAAAATTGATGCCTGGATAAGTAGAACAGACACCCAAAACGAGTTTCAGTTTCGATTTTCGTCTGAGGTAATGCTGACAGGTAGTTCCGCCAACAATTTAATTAATTTGGCGGAGCTAAATGGTCATGACACAGTTTTATACGTTTTTTGAGGCCAAGCTACACAGACAAGCGAGGTACATGCTGCAACCTGCACGAGCCAAGCTCTTGCCCGCAGCTCTGTCTGGTCATGTTTTGACAGACATTCCTCAGCCGCTGAAGGATGCGCGCCGAGGAGTTTTTCCCCTCTTTGGTTTGACTTCATTAGCGTCCCATTTTTGCTGTCATCGCGTCATTTCGCGAGTACGCAAAAAAAAAAAAAAAAAAAAAACGTCAGTGACAGCTTTCGTGAAATCAAACTTTCCGGCCCTTCCACTATTGAGGCTTTCTCAAAGAATTGACCTCTTCTCCTTTCAAACTAACCAACTAGATTATTTTTTTTTATTTAAGTGCTCTGCGCTACAGCGTTGAGTATTTCTGAGGCTTTGGGGGTTTTACTAGATTGTTTCTGGACAATATTCACCAGAGCTTGCTTTCTGCAGGCAAATTATTTGGAGCTTTACTGTTTTTAGTCACCATTACAAATCTTTATACCGGAGGCACGATTTTCCGAACTGGTAGTTTTGCGACTTTTAAAAAGCCTCACCAAACATATTTCTTCGCACTGGGCAGGTGACAGCTTTGTCGAAATACTTGTAAAGAGCATTTTTCCTCTGTGGCAGCAAAATGTGAAACTGCTGCACGTTGTGGGGGCTCCCTTGGAAGCTTATAAACCGAAATTACGGTTTAACTCCGTGTCCTACGCCAGTGGTCCCCAGCCACCAGTCTGCGGCCTCTGCTGTTCTACAGGTCATTTTGGTAATCGTTTGAGAATTTTAGACCATTTTTGGGGGGGATCTATGTATGTATTTTTGGTTTACTTTTATTTTTGTTGTTTGGTAGTAGAGCATATACATCCTGATCAGGAATACATGCCATGGCCACCCACACACCTAGAGGCAGATTTTGATACCTGTGACTTTCCTGCCATCTTAGATCCCTTGGAACTCTGCCACAATGCATTGATGCTAATTACATATTTATAGGGGTCGGGGGGGGGGATCACAACTGATCTGGATGCAAAATCAAAAACAATTAATGTGACTCAAAATCATTACTTAGACACCATCGCAAATCACTTCGGCAGGAAGTCATTGTTTATCATACCATCCACAGTCAAGAGTTTCCTGAAATAAAATGCACACGTACCAACCAATCTTGCCTCGCGAACTTATAATACAAACAGGAACCAAGCTAAGTAAGAAGTAACATTTAGAATTGTGGAAAAAGAAACGTGCTGTCATTGTGCTCTCTAGATAGGACTTGAATAAATGGGCCTTCCATCGCAGTGTACAAAATGGTTGTCGGCCATCGGCAAGAATTGATCGGATTGGGCAGGCAAGGTTCTGTGTATTTGAGAATTTTATTTCATCAAACCCTGACTGTGGATGGTATGATAAATAATGACTTCGTGGTTACAGAGGGCGATTTAAGCGTGCGCGTACACGTGTGCTTGCGCATGTGTGCACACATGCGTGTACAGTATACCTTTTTTTTCCGTCTTTGCAAAACACGGAATTTAGGTCGCACACTATATTTTCCTTTCTCCCAGAATGAGCACCAAACTAAACCAGTGCCATCGAAAATGCCGCAAATACAACTTGAGCGCGGCCCTAATCTTCGATCTTCACGCAGCCCTCCTTATGCTAACACCAACATTTCCCGTGGGAGAGAGACGGGAGCTGTCCTATCCCGCAGGGCTCGTGCCGGAGAGGCTCTACTTCTCCACGCTGTTTACATTCTAATCTGGTGATGGAGCACCGCGATAAAACCTCGGCCAGTCCCGCGGAATCAAAGGCTAATGGAGGCACTCAGGGTTTAGTGCCAGCAGCTCGAGCCAGGGCTAATGGACCCTCCTCTGCCCCTCCCTCTTCCCAAATCATGAACAGTCTTTGCGAAAAATGCGTCAGGAAAGCTTCTCGGAAATCAAACGCTGCTTTGTCATCAACCGTATGTGCTTTTTGGTTTAAAGTTGCCTATGGAAGTTCAGGGAAGAGAATGCTTTCATGAGAAAACACCTGGGTCAGGTTGAGGGGCGATGACATCATTCGATACCGAGGAACATTTGAAAATCTTCCAGCTGCTATCATGATGTTAATTACTGTCATGCTGTTGGCGGTAAATACACTAGCCTGACATTAGACTGCATAAAATATTCGATTGCAACGCCGCTCCTCAGAGTGCGCTTTTATTTGTGTTCCTCCTCTTTTGTTACTTGTGATTGAACCTAATGATCATTTTTCTCCCGCTCATGCGTCTCGTGTCGCCAGCGAAAGCAGTCAGTCCACAGGGGTTCAGAAAGTTTGATATTTGTAAGATTTCTTCAAGCGAGCCTTGTGTTGTTGTTATAACGACCGCTAATGAAAGTGCCGTACTTGTCGCTGCCAAACAAAGAGAATGTACCCGCACATTTCTGCGAGTTTTCCCCCCCTTGTTGTGTCACGTAAGTACAGAAAATGATTTCCGCGAAAGCAGTCAGTCCACAGGGGTTCAGAAAGTTTTATATTTGTAAGACTTCTTCAAGCGAGCCTTGTCTTGTTGTTATAATGACCGCTAATGAAAGTGCCGTACTTGTCGCTGCCAAACAAAGAGAATGTATCCGCACATTTCTGCGAGTTTTCCCCCCTTGTTGTGTAAAGTAAGCACAGAAAATGATTTCTGTTTTTGTTTTATCGCATTTTGAAGGTTTTACAAAGGACTAGTGCACACATCCTCGGTTTTACAAAAAAAAAAACAAAAACATTTTTCAGTATAGAATTGAACCCGGTACCTCTGCACTGTGAGGTCGACGCGATAACCACTGGACCACCGGGCCACCCTGGCTCCATATTTATGATGGCCTTTTGTGTAATAACATTTTGGAGTGACCACATCCCATTTCCTGGAATGCTCATTGTTTCCACATAATGGAAGTAGCCCGTTTACAAAACTAGTGCACACATCCTCGGTTTTACAAAAAAAAAAACAAAAACATTTTTCAGTATAGAATTGAACCCGGTACCTCTGCACTGTGAGGTCGACGCGATAACCACTGGACCACCGGGCCACCCTGGCTCCATATTTATGATGGCCTTTTGTGTAATAACACTTTGGAGTGACCACATCATTTCCTGGAATGCTCATTGTTTCAACATAATGGAAGTAGGCCGTTTACAACATGTGGTACAAATCAGCACTTTTAATTCAATCGGGACACTTTTTACATGTCTCCGTGCTGCTGTTTTGGTTAGCAACAGCGTTCAAATGGTCACATTTCTGGCCAATAGTGTCCATGAAATTAAGTAATTGATACCCCACCCCACCAAATTTTGGATTTGCCCTGTTTAGCATCGGTGATCATCAAGTTATTGGCCTTTTGTGCTCTCTTGCAGGGAAAATGTCAAACATCCGCACAGTAAGGAAGAGGCAACAGCTGAATAATTTAGTTGCCATGGTGACGCAGCTAGCCAAACCAGGATTCACTGTGGTGGATTTCTGCAGTGGAACGGTGATTTTTTTAAAATTTATTTCTTTTTTTAATTTTTTTTTTTTTTAATGTCGATCTAACCTTATTATCTGTGTTAAGAGCGAAAACCTCACTTTTCTATTCTGTGTGATTACCTTTTGTTGCTGGTTGTTGGTCGCTGATGCAGTGTATTTGCTCAGAGCAAGTCGTCGTGTCACTTGAGGGCCAGAAATACAATTTAAAGGTATTACTGTACATAACTCCTTTCCCTTCACCTCCTTTGTGCCGTCAGGGCCACGTGGGCATCGTTCTGGCTCACGCCCTCCCACTTTGTCAGGTAACGTTACGTACGCTTTGTGTATAGGGAACAGTGAGGGGCCAGCAAATATTGACCAAAGCATCGATTTTCGTTACAGGTCATTCTCATCGAAAACAAGGAAGAATCTCTGATCAGGGCGCACAGTCGCAGTGTAGAACTCGGTCTACAAAACATTGGCTTCATTCAGGCAAATTTAGATTATTTCACCGGACCCTTCCAAATTGGGGTGAGTATCCATTTTTTCCAAATTTTTTTTTTTTTAATTCCATGATGATTTTTTAATGACTACTAATGATTCTAAATACTAATATTTCATTTTTTAATGTAATGTTTTTCATAAGCAGTTCGGAAAATGGATGGATGGATGTCATTTTCTTCTGAAATGTTATGATTTGCTGAATTATATTGAGCTAAATTGCTTAACATTCATGGGTAGAGGATGTTAAGACGCATTGCAAGGTCAAGATTGAATCCCTTAGCACAGAAGATGTTCAAAAATTCAAGATGTCAATCATATGTAAAGTTATCACTTTTTTTTTTTTTGTCCAAATCCATTTTATACTCAACAGTCTTGAACTACATAATGTGTGTTCACCACATTTTATGTTGTATTGCGTGAGTAAGTGAGTGATTGAGTGAGTGAGCTAGTTAGCTAATTAGTTCACCTTTTTGTTCAGCCGCTACGGAACTCAGGTGCTAGCAAACAATATTCCACACAAGTTACACACTACTTGTTCTTTAGCCAAACTTACTTTAGTTGGTTAGTTAGGTACTTTGTCAGTCAGTTAGTACCTTGGTTAACTGCTAGCTGGCTAGGTTGCTAGCAAATAGGCACATATGATTCCGTAAAAGGTAGTCAGTCATTCACTTACTCTACCTACCTAGCCACCCACAGAAGGTGGCTGGTTGTTTGGTCGGTCAGTCTGTTGGATTGTTTGTTTGGCTGCTAGCGAGCTAAGTTTCTGCCAAACAGACATGGAGGAATCCACAAAATCTGCTTATTACAAATAAGCACTACTGTTATATCGAATGAACATTCCTCAGGCAAGTTGGGAAGCAAAAAAAAATAAAAAATAATAAAACCCTTTTGTTAACATTACAGAATAGATCCGCTTTTAACTTCTCATTGAATAATACATGAATCTTAATGACAGTGCAGCAATATGCAAAGGGGTGGGTATCAGTGAAGCAGTACAATTTGGTGCTGATCCAAATAAGGATTGTTCGTCCTTGGCGGAGGTCCCTGCTCGACTGAGTGTCATTATAATTATGCAAAGCATCTAAGTATCAACGCATGAGACGAATTGCCGCACATCACTTTGCTGAAGATGTATTTTTCCACTGTTAGGTGTGAAAATGCCATCCATTGATCATTTTTGTTTGAACGCTCTTGTTTGAGCTTTTCATTTCCTGAAGTGGCTCTTTAATTGCGAGCCTTTTAGAGCTTGCCTCTTCTGTCAAGCACGGCGCGCCACTGTTATTAAAGAGACAAGAGGCGGCTTGGCTCGAGAAATAAAGGCTGAAGGACTGTCAGGTGTAACATATCGTAGAATCCTTTTTTTTTTTTTATAAATGTGCCCCCTTTGGAAATATAAATAACTCTTTCCGCTCCAAGGCTAAACTGACCTTCATTACAGTTTTAATGTTGAGATTTAAAAACAATACATTCGAACTAAAATGACGGACACATCTATTTTTGAACATTCTTAATTGTCAAGTCGAGTCACTTAGATACCAAGTCCCAAGCCAAGTCATTCTCAAGTTTTTGGTAAGCATGTCGCAAATCCTAAAGAAACGGCGACTCTGGTTTTTAGTGTGCTGTCCAGACGTTATGTTCCTGACAGGCATCCAGTCCGTAGCGTCCGCCACATCTCACCCAAAGCCAGCCGGAACTACTTCCAAATCACCGGACAGCAAACGTTATCGAAAAGAGATGGACTGTTGTAGTGTCAGTAGAGCAAACTGTTTTGTAAGTGTGGTAGGAGTAAATATGCTTGCCAGACATATCAGCTTGGATGCAGGCAAGCTGGCCGCCATTTGTCTTGCATCTGCGTTCACCACAAACACGTTTTCCACAGCGACGTCGCTGCCAAGACTGCAGCTCTGCAAGTGTGCAATTGTTCGGCGGAAAGATCTGCGGCCAAGCGCATAAATATAAAACGTGAGGCCTTTAGCCGCGCGTGCCGGGTTTGACGGCTGAAAAAGCACACGCGTGCAATATAGTGACATGCGTTTCTGCCTTTTTGTGTCGTTTTAATTTTACAATACATTGCGTCTCGAAAGTTAGTAAGGTGGAAGGTCGAGGCGAATCCATTCCATTTGTTAAAATTTGTAAATTATAATAGCTATATAAATCATGGAAACAATAGATGATCCGGGGCCAAACATGTAAAAACGTTTTGAAACAGAACAGATGCTTTTTGTAAAAGGAACATATTAAAAAAAAAATATATATTTTTTTTAACTGCTTGTTCTTTGGAGTGCCTACCCACCCATCAAGCTTAAAATTGGACAACTACTGGAAATCTTTGTTAAAATGCCTCCTTCCAAGAACGTGCCAATGATCGAGAACATTATAATCTAATTTCCATAATAATACCGCCCAATGAGTACAATCATAGTCAAGCCCCGAGGGTAAGCAGAGCTGCAGTGTTGCAAACGCACATTAGTGACGGCTTACGACGTTAGCTTCTGGTAACTGTCACATAGTCACAAATTAGACAGTTCACAGATATTCCCTATTACTTGCGGATGCCAAAAAAAATAAGCATATTGCTGCGGGGCCATCTTGTGGCATCTTGGTGGCAAGGACCTATGTTGAGGTAAGATGAGGAGCTTCAATTAGACAAAATCAGAGCTTTGACATTATATAGTAGCGAGAAACCTTTATTTATATATATACACATATACACGTATACACACACACACACACACACACACACACACACACACACACACACACACATATATATATATATAAAATTCCGTTGAACTTTTTGGGGTGGGTCATTTGAAACTGTACTTTTTAAATTTCCCCCCATTGTCACAGATGGATGTTTTGGATTCCCACGCAATCCTCGTTATAGTGGCAATTTATTTCGACCATCTGCTGGTTTTTGGTCATTGGTCACGATGGAGACCTTCAAGTGTCATCGCTCAGCCCGGAACATTCACCATTTTCTTGCTTCCATTTGAAATACTGTTGCTTTTATTCTCCACTTGGTCTACTCGGTGGGCAGTAAAGTGGGTGTTTTTTTTTTTTTTTTTTAAGTGCCTCGTAACAATATTTGTACCTCCACAGATTTGTAGTCGCAGCTCGCTCGTTTGCCCCAGCTTTTTTCTACTTGAATGAACGGATCATCACACAAAAGTGCCTTTGTTTAATTAAACCTTATACGGTATATTTATATTGTATTGTACTCCTGTCAAAGGCTAGATTTTAATATTCCACACAAGTTACCCACTATTTGTTATTTAGCCAAACTTACTTTAGTTGGTGAGTTATGTTGCAATAATTTTCCTTCAACCCTCAAGCAACAGCTACTTTAACACAAACAGACCAGCAAGATATTGAAACGGAGCCGGCAAATGCCTTGACGTCCGACTTTTCCGAATGCCGTCATTTGGCGTAAAAAGTGGAAAAATGTGCTGTGGTCTGATGAGTTCCCATTTCAAATTGGTTTTGGAAATCATGAATGTCGTGCCCTCCTGGCCAAAGAGAAAACGCATTTGCAAATAATGATATGTTTTTCAAATCCGGGCACTTGCACAGCTGCTGCAAAGTGGCCATCGGACCTTGAGGCAAAGGACTGCATCAGAACTGTTTGTAAAAAGAAAAACATGAGGAAATAGTTCGCAATGTGTCTTTATTATACCGTTTGATATAGAACTTGGCTCACGTGTTTTTGTTTTTTAGCGAACTAGGATTTCAGAAAAAGCAAACAATGAATAACATGCAAATCATTTTTTTTGTTTGTTTGTGGCAGTGGGGGGCACGATAAATATGCACTCGTGCAGATACTCAGAATGTTATCACCTCCCCCTCAATTTTGGCCAGGAAAATTCCCGCTTGTTTGAATTTTGTGCGATCTGTGCATGAAAAGGGTTGGCTGAATCTTGACTTTGCGGGCATGCTCCTGGTGATTGCGCTGTTTGTTTGTTTCCTCACTGGCTCTAAAGTTGCGCTCCTTGGCATTGCTGTCAAGACAACTTCCAGTCATTTTCAGACTCCCGGACGCCGACTGACACATTCTTGGAAGCTTCTTTTTGTGGCCGTGTGAGTGGGATGGGGCTAATTTCAGTGCAGGAAGCAAGGAGTCTTTTGATAATCACAGGTTTTCTCAAGTGAATGCACAAAAGGACCACCTGGAGGACAAACAAGCTTTTGTCAAATGCGAGTCCTGATGCAGAGCCAAGTGGCAATTGCTTGTGGTTGACAAAAATATTCATATAATTTTTCTGGGGTGTACTGTCTTGCATCTGGAAAAATTACACTAAACACAATTAGACATATCAGCTTTAATCTATGTCAGCAGACGAGCATGCATTTTCTAGTCCATGTCCCAAAACGAACCCCCCCGCCCACCAATTGAAACAAATTCTGAGGTGTCTTATTTCACATCCATCCATCCATTTTCGGATCCGCTTTATCCTCACAAGGGTCACGGGGGGTGCTGGAGCCTATCCCAGCTGTCTTCGGGCAGTAGGCGGGGGGACACCCTGAACCGGTTGCCAGCCAATCGCAGGACACACAGAGACGAACAACCATTCAGACCGAGGGACAATTTCGAGCGTTCAATCAGCCTGCCATGCATGTTTTTGGAATGTGGGAGGAAACCGGAGTACCCGGAGAAAACCCACGCAAGCCCGGGGAGAACATGCAAACTCCACACAGGGAGGCCGCAGCCAGGATTGAACCCATGACCTCTGCAATGTGAGGTCGACGCGCTAACAACTGAAATACTTTTGTCAAAATATCCGAAAGGATCAGAATCAAAGCACACTTGGCTGGTGTGGGCCCGTTTTGATGGAGTGGTTCCGTCTCATGAAATGAACACACTGCTCACCGCGCCCACAATCAACTGCGGGTCCAGTGCTCAGTCCGTCTTGAGTTACCATGGCGACAAGCCATTGAGAAATGTGGTTGGGACAGGACGAGTGGCTTCTGATTCTAGAAGCTAACTTAGCATAAAATACGTGTAACTTTTACGCGAAATCAACTTCATATTTTGGAAATAAACTCCACAAGCAGCCATGTTTCATTGCCTTTATTCAAGGACAACACTTTAAATGTTTTTTTTTTTTTTTTTTGCGTTTGCGGCAGGTCGCGCTCCACGCGTGTGGCGTGGCGACAGACATGGTGATGGAACACTGCATCCAGGCAGGCGCCGCGTTCGTCATCAGCCCTTGTTGCTACGGCTTCATCCAGAATGCCGTAAAGTTCACCTTCCCGCGCAGGTTTGTGTCTCCTGTAAAGTGCTTGTTTTGGTCTGAGACAATTGCAGTTGAAGTGGAACCTCGGTTGTATAAGCTATATTTTGAACAACTGGTGCTACAAGCAAAATTTTCAAAAAAAAAAAAAATTACCTGAGGTCTTTTTCCTCGCGCTCCCTAAATATCGTCTGTTAGGAAGAAAAAGTTCACACACCCTTACTCAAAGTTTTCAGTCACTGAGTTTTACGAGCTATCATTTCAAGAAGCCATCTAAATGGAGTCAAACTTAAAAAATAAATAAATAAATAAATAAAGCATCCTCTCTACGTTTCACTCGCATAGATGAAAATTTGTCAGATTTGAAAGACTAATCAAAACACACCGAGACAACTGCCCGACTCAATCTCACTTTTATCTATATTTTTTCTTTGTTTGTGTTTATGTTTTTTTTTCTTGTGGGAAGGACGGCGGGGGGGGGGGGGGTGTACTGTTTTCTTCCCCTCGGGTCACCTTCCGGCATCTCTTCTCGGTATTCTGCAGGTGTAGACATTCCAGACACTTCACGCACAATTTTTTTTTTTTTTTTCTTCATCTGTCTGAAGGTCCTTCGACTTTGGTGTTAATTTGAAGACGTTCCGCTTAACACGAACAGTACTCGTTTTTAATTAGCCACAAGCGCGTGGAACCCTCACAAACTGTCATTTCCTCCCTGGGGGGGGGCGTCTGGTCCTAATCAGGTCTAAGTGTTTACACTGACACAACACACAACCCGCCTGCACAGACACCCAAATTGCACATAAATAACTTAAGTAATTGTCAATCCTCGTCAGTGACAATCCAAAAGGAAACAATCATACGAAGCCTTTCGTATATCCTGGGTGACTCTTCCCTTCATTGATTCACAGCAAACAATTGTAGCCTCCAGGTTAATATTTTGCTTATTTGATAATTGCAACACATTTAATGTTGCCAATGTATTTGTTAACGCTTCCACTGTAGTTTAGATTAGACAGTTGTTTTTTTTTTAAATGTGTCCATATGTGTTGTTTAGGTGGACACTGTTGTAAATATTTTAACACTCGGTGACATCAAAGTCGATTCGACAATAGCCTGTTGAGTCTTGATAGGAAAAGACTCTTCTTCCGGGCACACCAAGTAATACTGCGTGTTATCAAAGTTCTCTGAATATTCTCGGTTTATTTTTGCGGGAATTCGGCTACATGTAGTTTTTCTATGCAACCTGTCGCAGCTTGTTCATCGAAAAAGTCAACTATTTGCAAATTTGGTGCATTTAAAAAAAAAAAATCTAATAATCTGTAAAACAGTTAATTTCAAGAAGAGTTTTAAAATATATTCAACGATTTGGTGAGCATACAATTAAAAAAATATATTTTTAAAAATTTAATGCTACCACCACACATGTCCAAATTGCGCCACTTGAGAGCAAAACAAAAGTATGACTTGTGCCGCACCGCGTAAATTAGGCATGCGCCAAGTTTAAATTCCTACAAAATAGTCAGGCCAAAATAGCAATGGCGTTCCGAGGAGCAGAAGAGTCCGCGGGGAGAAGAAGATGCGTTAGAACTGATAAATATATCGTGGTGCTGGTCAAATGAGTCCCAATTTCGACCTCCACTTGCGGCCACACTTGCACACGTGTCACTTCACGGACGCATTCCGCTCACATTACAAGTCACATTCATTTTTCTAATGTGAATGACGAGAGGGATTTAATTGAAAAAAGACTCCCAGTCGGGCATCATACCCTGCGGCATGAACGTAGCCAAAGTGCAAGCTTTCTGGTTCCTTCCAGGCGACACGCACGCTTTCACGGCACCCTGGAGAGGTGGTTCCTGCCAGCCAGGCAGCCTTCTTGCCCCCGGGCCAATGGCCAGCCTGCGCCGTGGGGGAATATTGGGCTCATTTTGCCACCAAATACCAAAAACGCATTCAAAAACCGAAAATGTTTTTTGATTTCAACCAATAACCTTTGGCGCATCCCTTATATGAAAACAACCTTACCACCTCAAACATTCAGTGCACTAACCCATTCAACTTCCTCTTGTTTCTTACAGCAAAAAGTTCCAGGAAGCGCTTATTTACAAGGTAGGTGTTATGATGGAGTGTTGTTTCCCCTCCCCCGCCATTGCATCTGTCATTCACTTTCGCCGGAGTCGAATATTAACTACACCCTGCCCAGCTACTTTTCGGGCTCGATAGTGTTACACTCCTGCCCAAATGAATGAAGCTCCAGCACCAGCGAGGCTGGCTCTCTCTGTGCTGAGCGAGGCCCCCTTTCAGACGATGATGAATAGGCCCTGTCAGCGCCTCGGGGCACTAATCTGTGGAAAAGACGTCGTCGCAGGTGCTCGCCACGGCACCCTCGTGTCGCAACACGGGACTGCCTCTGACTTGCAAGCGCTGTACAGAGACATATTTTTGCTGCTGGAACTTGCTGCCGAGCTAGAACGTTAATTAGCAGCCAAGGCCTGCGGTAATGAGAAATGACATCGTTTTTGACGATGCATTCGAAGGACCAAGGTTGGTTTTCGGGCTGCTATCTTTTACGCAGGAATTCAAGCCACAAATCCGCTTTTGAAGTCGGCAAGTTGGCAAACGCGGGATGGGAGGTGAGACCTTACTGACGGTACTGGTGTGCTTTTTTTTTTTCTTCCCCCCCTTTAGGAACACATGATGTTGTGCCGTTTTGCCGACCAAACTGCTCCCCAGCTTCCTCCTGAGAGGCGACTCATAGGTACCGCCTACGACGTGTTGACACCAACCAATTTTTCTCTGGCTCTCACACAAAAGGATGCATTCAAGTGACCTCGCTTTACGGGTCGATACCGATGCCACGAGGCAGCTGCGGCGAACAGCTGCCACTTGAGCGCTCTCAGATTTGTCCCCGTGTCACTGTACAGCACTTGTTCATGTAGAGAAGAGAAGGATTGTTTGACACGCCCTGACATCTACTGTTGCCGCCATGATTGACTGCAGCTAATCGCTCAAGTCCGTGAACGTTATTCTGAACTCTTGTCTTTGTAATCCCCAACACACAACTCTTATTTTGGCAGATAGTTACATTTAACAACTTTTCTTAACATAAAAAAAAAACACCTCCTTTTTAGTTGAAGCAGTTGACATAAAAATAAAGTCATAAAATAAGTGTATTAAATACATTTTAATGCAAAAATATCAAATGGTCTAACATGCTCTCAACTTTACTGTTAAAATACATGAAAAAGAATATTGTTATGCTACACTATGCTAAGTTAGGCTACATTATGATTTTGCTTTGCTAGTCTACGTCTATGTTTCATTTAGGCTTTGCACGATCTGGGTTTTGGAGCCAGTCACTAACCAGCGAATTTAAAAAAAACAAAAAACAAAACAATAACCGATCCGATGGGAATATGGACCAATCCACCACAACAACTTTTTGTTTACTCTACAATCGACCACCGCTATTCGCGTGGTACTCGGACCGACCCGGACTACAAATAGGCAAAAATCATCAAATATCTACCTAACTGATCCAGCTGATGACATCTGTGTAAAGTCTTGTTTCATATGAACCCGTAGAAGCCACTTGCCTGATTGCAACCCCCCTAGCTCCACCCCTGGTCACCATGGTAACGAAAGGCATACTCTACATTGGCTCGACAGTCGCAGTGTCATGAACAACGGCCTAATTTTCATGAGAAAGTACTGCTCTTTCAAAACAGTGAGACTTCAAATATCTGTTTTGAGTTTTGACTAAAACCAAACATCTAAAATCGAACAAATTGACGTTTGACCCTTTCATGCACCCTGTAACCTGAAAAAATGATCAGCTGCCCACTGGAGTAACCGCTGTCCCTGAAAGGGTTAAATGTAAGTCAAATAGAATCATCAGAGATATGGGATTCCTGTGTGTTAGCTGATAAGCATTTTTTTTTTTTTAAGTACTTAACATGCACTCATTTGGGTGTATTATATTGCAGGGAAGCAGTGCATGGGCCTCGTAGACTTGGACCGGTCGTGGTGCGCGGAATCTCACGGCTACAGGGTGCAGGTGATGACCATGGAGCCGGAGACTTGCTCGCCAAAGAACAATATGCTGGTCGGAAGGCCCAGCGTTGAAGATGGCCCTCACTAAGAGTGTGAGAGTATCAAATGGAAACTTGATTTGCTTTTTTTTTTTTTTTTTTTTTTTTTTTTTAATGTTGAAGGGGTCTACAGTCGTCACATTTGCATCAATAAAGATGGAGGCTTGTTCTTAATGCCGCCATGTTTCATTTGTGTCTTATCCCAAGATTCAATCAGTTAAAACTTTAACTCAGCAGATCCAAGACTCCTGGCTCAGAGTAAGAATTTATGGGGAAATTATTTTGAAATTCATACATAAAAATCATTGAAATTACTTTGTGTTTTTCTATCCTGGTCTGTTTAAATTAGCTTAATTGGAATACAATTCTTGTTTATCTTATATTGTCTGCTGGGTCTGAAAATTAAAAAAAAAAAGACCCCAAAACATTTCTCCTCCCCCTCGAGGCTTCATTATAAAGGAAGCTTTTGCACAAATAGCAACAATATTTTCCCACTTTTCCCTGTGAGGGTTGAATTCAAGTGCTGATCCAAAATAACCAGTACGTGATGCCCGGGGATGCGTGGCACTGATTTGGAATTTCAGAAACATTCGGTGTAATGAAGTTCGCACCAGAAATGTCAATCAGCCATTTTGGGCCGACGAGGTGATGAATTGCATTGGTCGGTTGAATAAATTACAATGCACATTGAGTCTCGCCTGATGACAAGACGTCTCATTACATGCAAATGGCATTTCTGGATTTATAGTCACACGTGTCATATGTTTCAAATGACTGGAGCGAGTGTCAGCCAGGAGAACCTTTCAGCTCCATTACTGACACTCGCTGTCGTCCATTTCTTTGCCTTCCTTAATGGGTTCGTGGAGAATGCGTGTCCCCGCTCATGTTGTCTTTTTTTTTTTTTTTTTTACTCGGGGTGGGATTGAAAGATAGGTAATTTTTATTCAATAGCAATGCTAAATTGAGTGCACCAAATGACACAGGTATTAATAATATTATGTAATAATGTTTAAAACTCTAGGGGGAGGGGGGATAAAGATGATCCGTATTTGCCATTTTGAAATTAAGTTTGATGAATTGGAGTACGATGACCTTTTTTGTTTTATTCTTTGAAATACTGACAAGAAAGCCCCCAAATTCCAAATGGAAAAATGAATGAAGTGAAAAATGGTCAAAAATCAAGTGTGTTTTTGGTCCCTAAATGTTTTTTCCCCCCCGAGCTATCTACCCGTCTTATTATTATAACCATCTGTTGCCAGCAACGTTAGACAAACAAACAACAGGCAGATGCTGGTCCCACTTTTATGGCAATCGTATTCGTTTTGGTGTGGTCTTTGCACAGACACTCAGTCACAGGCCATTCTGCTGTAATAGAGAAAGTTACCTACATGTTTGTATGCTTTTTGAAGCCTTTAGATATTGACAACATTTCAACACCATTTTGTTCCTTTATTTCAGCTCTTTCTGGTGACAGTGGTCTTGCTAGAAAAAAAAAATAATTTTGTTGTCAGGTTTTATTTCTATAAATCTGTTCAATTGCTTTTTCAAATGACTGCTTATGCAATATAAAATTCCTACGAAATCACAATGCCCGATCACTGATGAGCTATTTTTGGAACAGGCCATACTACAAATGTGGTCTTTGTCTGTTACCTGTGAGCACCACCTTGGTAAGAATGACTGTTACATAGCACCATGCTGTTTTTACTATTTAAACGTTCCTAAAAATGTATGTTTTTGTCTTGGAATTGGATTTTTTTTTCTATTTTCTTTATATGCATTATTATATGTATTTTATTTTTTTCATATAGCATCATGCTAGCTAATAGCGTCTCTACCGCACGTGCGCGCCATTTGGCGCCCAGCTGGTGACATCACTCTTAAAGCGACAGGCGCACACACGCCGGCCGCTTTATAAGGTGTGACTGCCTCAACTTGTGAGGAAGAGGAGGGCAAGAGATACACTGAAAGAGAGCGAGAGAAAGGGGGAGCAGCCTGTGCGCTCTCTTCCCCCCGTTCCTCCGCTCCTCACACTTGGATAGAACGCACATGAGCACACTGAGCGTGTGTGTGGTTGTGATCCGAGCGCCGAAGAGGACGCGTCTGTTTGGTCTTGAGGACGGACTAGCGAGCGGGACGAGGCGCCATGGACTCCTGGATAAAGTTCATCTTCATGGTCGCCACCTTCTGCTGTGGAACGCGAGCCGAGTTTGACGGCAGGTACGTGCGCAGGTTTTGCATCTCACACTTGCTTTGTTTGCGCTTCTCGTGTGCGAAAGTGTTTGGAAACATCGTCGGTTTAATGTGATATGACCGGTGTGTGAGGGGGACTTTACTCCCAACTAGTTGCGTTAGTGACCAAATGCACCTGAATGCCCCCCCCCCTTTTTTTTTATTATGTGGCTAAGTAGAAACGCGTACGCGCGGGCGTACACGCACACACAAGCGCGCACGCACACACATTTCAGTGGAGTTTCCGATTCTATGCCTCAAGAAGCATTAATTTTGGTATTTAAGAATTGCACCTGAATGTACCATTTGCGTCCATCTATTTCCATGCATTTTACTTTATTTGTTAGCGACTAAAGCAACCTACCACGTGCCTGTATTAAATCTTAATTATGTTGTGTCTACTCTTTAAAGCGATCCAGAAACTTCTGAATTAGAGATTATTATAAGAGTACTGCCCCTGAATGCTTCTTGGGATGAAATTACATTCATTTTCTGTGGGTAAGGAGAACTAAGTTTACAGTACTGTAAACAACTATCACGTGTCTCACTTGACATTTCAAGTGTTTGTTGTTGTTGTTTTGTTTAACTGTAATAATTGATGTTGCACTATACTGGATACGATTTGGTCGCACATATCTAACTGCAATTACCAAGTATCTCATGTTGACATTATTCAGATTTTTTAAATAATTATACAGTGGCTTTCTATACGATATTACACAACTGAATTTGCTGTTGTACACTGGTTTTCCGACTACTCTACACCGCTTCTCATCAGATGCTATTTGGTCTTTAGGTCTGAAGTAATACGATTGGTCATAGAAATATTGTACTTGCATCTATCCTTCTTCTCTGCAGTGCGTTTTTATCCGTGGACAAGGATAAATATATCAAACACCCAGCCATCCCTTTGTTTATACCGCTTATCTTCATTAAGGTGACAGGTGAGCTGGAGTCTATCCCAGCTCATGCGTGAGAGGCGAACTGGTCGCCGGCCAATCGTTGGACACAAACAGACAAACAAGTATTCACCCACTCATTCAGGCTTGTGGACAGTTTACAGTCAAGTATTCAATGACCCAAATATGGACATTTTTGGAATGTGAAATGAAGCCGGAGTCTCCTGATTTCACTCTGTCTTGAGACAGACGAGCGACCAGTCCGTGGTTTTGTCGGCTTTTCTCCAAAAGCCAGCTGGGAGAGGCTGCGGCTCTCTGCAAAATAAAAGGACTAAATGTTACATACATAGCATTGAGTTGGCCTGGGCCGACCTTTCCCCAAGTTGATTTAAATATGTAGCCTCCACATTCCTCCCCTAGCTGATGGCTGCGATTCTCGAGCTGATTTCAGGGATGAGCAACTTAAATGCTGGAGGGTGCTACAATTTTTTTGCTACTGAGAGGCCACGTAGGACCACACAGCTCCTTAACCAGATGAATGACAAATCGGCCATTTTAAATATGGACAAAATACCTACATTTTCACATTAATGCATCTCTCTCACACACACACATGCACACACACAGACACACACACACAGACACACAAATGTATCAACTCCTCATGCATTTCAAACGAACTGTCAATGGTTCTTGTGGCGGGAGGAGACAATCGCTGTTGTTTGTGTACTTTTGAAATCAGTGTTGTCGTGGTGACTTAGGTTGAACTCTTTCCTGGCTGAGCATCTGTGAGCAAACTGGGCAGAAAAAAATTGTGTTCATATTCGGCGACTTCCTATTTTACCTGAAAGTCAGTTTTATTTCCCTTATTTGGTCATGGCCGCTTGGCCGAACCAGCTTTTCTTCTCTCTGTTTCGAGCTTGCGTTAGCGAGCTATTTCAGATTTATGTAGCACTCGCAATACGTTTCAGATTTTATCCATTATTTGGATGGATTTTAATTTGAAGCGATCCGATTCAATTTGTTTCTTTGCACATGCCACGACGCGTATCCTAATTGTGTCATTTGGGAGCAAAAAAAATCGGAATGATGTCACGTCAACTATCGAACGTAAATCCAATATTTGTAGACCTTCAGACTTTGCTGATAAAAGCGCAACTCGAGTGAAGTGTCTCTACCCAACGGGGAATAATATAGTGACATATTTGTTGCACGGATTAAGGAAATGCGCTGTTTTGGCCTGTGTCAAAACCTCATTTTTAAAAAATAATAACACACACACTCTCACAATACAAAAGCTGTCTGCAAATGCAAGGTGGCGCAGTGGGGAAGAAACAACAACAACAACCCGGCACAGACGCCGGCGTTCATGTTCTGACACGAAGTGTGTTCGCGCAGACGTGGAAGACGCTGCGCCGCATCGCCAAGAATGCGAGTGGCCGAGATCTCCATCTGCTTCTGTAAAGCTCCAGTGATGGATGATGTTTGTTTGGCGTTTTGGGGATGTTTTTTTTTTTCATGCGTCATAAAGCATACGACCCGTTTCCTGAATTAGTGACTATATGAGAGTGGAAATAAAAATAATAGATAATGGCATTGCACAAGTGCACACACGCTTTTAAAATGTAATGTAGCAGTGTTCATATTTAACCATCCTGAAATTGAAATGGGAGCCGCTATTTCAAGTAACCCTGATTAACCCCGAAATCAAGTTCATATGTTTTAGTTGGCTTCTCCTGACATGGAATCTTGCTTCCGGCAAAAGCCGGACATTTTTGTGCTCACCTTGACCAGGAGAACCGTTGCTGTGTTCGTCAAAAGACCTGCATTACATGCGTCCGCTCTATACAACTTCTTTTTTTTGCCAGAAATGAAAACTTGGTGTTTCCCAGTGTTCGCTAGAGCAACATACTGGTCGAGCCGATTCACTGGTGGCGTCGTATTTTTTTTTTGCAATCGCTGCTCACAGCACATATACGATATAATGACCTCTCCTTTATCTTTTTTTCCAAGCCTTATTCATAATGTAAATATATCTGGAAGCGAGAGAACAGATTAGGACACGCTGCAATTAATTTCCGTCCGTCATTTTCTTTACAACGCATCATCCATAATCACCATGGCGACTGGCGGCGTAATGGCACTGATGGATTTCTTGCCTGGGCCACGGTGTGCGAGTGTAATGATCATTTAGTCCGTACGCGCGCCGCCGTATTGTACGTTAACGAACGCTGCGGCCGACGGAGCGGCTCGTCCGCATGCTCATAATTTGCCCTTCTTTACCGCTGAAGTCTGATATGAATTCATTGAGAGTACATCCTCACCCTCTTGAGTGTATGTTCAGTGGGCTTGGATGGGTGGGAAGCCATTTATTACCTGCTCGCCCTCGCTTATTGCCTTTTGGAGAGCACTCCGAACAGGCTTATCCTTGTGGCCTTGAAGGGTCCTTCACGCCCCACATCATTTTGCTCAGGCACACGCACGTACGCAAAAAAAAAAATCAGTGTTAGCACTTTGCGGTGCCCCGCGAGAATCTGGCGTTTGCGCTCGGGCGCTTCACTCGTCCGATCGTTGGTGTCCGTTTGGTCCCCGGAGAAGGCCACGCGCCGAGACGGAAGGCCGAGCGAGGTCAATGTCTTTGCTTTGCCCCCGATTCCGAGCTGTGTGCTTTTCAGAGAAATTGGAAGCAAACCGCTCTCTCCGGCAACACTTCATTTTCTCCGCTGCCTTTTGTCACGAATGGAGAGATGACATTGAGGGCTATAACGTGTCAATAGAGCTGTTTTGCTTTGCCAGGTACATGTGCACAGCGTTTTGCTTTTTTTTGTTGTTTTTGTTTCAAAGCATCATTTTTGCATGACTTGCACATGTTCAACTCAAACCTGAAATAGATGTAGTCTTCTGCCGGGTTTGGACCTCGGCGTGAGGAAAAGTTGTTGGCGGAAAGCTGACGTTTTAATTTGCGTCTCGTATTTTCATGCCTAAAAGCTGCTATCGGAGAAGACGACCAAACAGCATTTGGAGGTGGCAGGGAGGAAAGACGTCAAACGGACATCAGCGGACGGATAGAAAATCAGGATCATGAAGAAAAAAAAAAAAAAAAAATCAGCGGACGTTCCCACGGTCCTTTGTGCAAACTTCCCTCCGCCTTGCCTTCCAAACCTGTTGAAAAACCCTCAGTGGTACCGGCAAATCATTATTGAATGTGTATGGAAGAAACACTGCTAGAATCTAGTGGATCAAGCTGCTAACAGACTTCGAAAGCTCCTCGAGGTGCTACACAACTCTTTTTCTACTTTGAAAAGGAATTGTTTGTTGAAAAGTAGTCATTTCAGCCGAGCAGCTGGCATGTGCACGACTGGCTGTACGATATCCTTTTGATTTCGTTTGACTGTACTGTGACACGTTTGCTCTTTATTTTTACAAACCGTGTCTCACAAGCAACCCCTTTTTATTTGCCCCACCTGTGTTTTACCGATATTGGGAAGCCTTGTCATTGGGAGAGCTATAGCAGACGTGATTTGTGATTTTTTTTTTGGGGGGGGGGGGGATGTACCGAGTGGGGACCCTGCAGCTGTTCCGTAAATTGTTATTCTAAATTCTGTAAGTTCCGAGGCTGTGAAGATTTCTGAATGTCGTTGGATGAGCAAGTCGGGCGAGGGGGGAAGGGGGGGGTAGTTGAGCAGAAGCGACGCGAGACATTGGAAAGAGCCACGTACAAGTATATGATCAGTATGAAATCGCTCCTTCTCATCATTTATTGTGCATAAGAATTAAGCAGAGTCCCATCAGAACCACTTTTCATCTGACAGTTTTTTGTTTTTTTTTTGTGGTTTCTCAGCGACGTGATTGGCAGCTGGGGATACTGGGGGGGGGGGGGCGCGGCTCAAGAGCATTTCATCATGTCGCCATGAAGTCTTGAACAGGCCTCCCGAATGCTGAGTGACAGTCGCACTTGGCTTGCGAGGCACAAACAAAGCAGCTTTTGTCTTCCGGAGCTATATAAAGACGACCCGGTGGCGGATTAGCGTTTGCCCGCCAAGTGCTACGTGGCGAGCTGCAAACGCTTCTGTATCATGCAGTGGAAAC